TCTTTGTTTGAGCTTATATTGAGGTATATTTAGTATGATTATACTCAGTTCAGCTTTTCTTGTTTACATTTGTCATTCCTGTTTCCATGTTACCTGGCCTTCAGAGGTTTTGCAGGAGTATCTGAGTGCTTCTTATTTGGGCATGAGAAGGGAGGTAGGTGGTACACCTTCAGTCTTCAGAGGGGAAAGGGAATAACCCTGATGCTGATCTCACTTGGTTCACTTGGGAAAGTGGAAATTTTGATCCGCCTAAGACAAAGGTGAATAAGAGAGGGAAGACCAGAATCCTATAAGTAGAAATTTAATCAGGCCACTAACAACGATGGCACCATTTAGTAATAGACTTTTATAAAAGTGGGCAATAAATTTCAGTGGCAATGGAAAGTATGAATAAAATCAATGAGGATTGCTTATTATCTGTTAATTTAGGAAATATTAAAAAAGACAGTTTTGGCAAAATTGGGATGAAAATGATACGCTTGCCCAATACAGGTAGTGATGAAAGTTGATGTAACATTTTTGGAAATCAGTTTTGCAATTTGTGACAATTTTTCACATTCTTGGACCATTTCTAGAATTTTATTCTAAAAAGTGATTTAAAGCATAGAAACAACATACATGAAAATGTTTATTATAGTATTTTTTGTAATGTTAGGCTACAAATACCCTTAATGTACAATAGGGTACATTATTAAATCACAGAGCTTCAAATACTCGATGGAATGCAATTAAAAATAGTGCCAAAGATTGTAACAACATGGAAAAATATTTTTCACAGAAGAGAGCAAAGCACAACCATATGTGATGTGTATTTATGCCATGAGTATAGCTATGTAATTTTTAGCTGTGCATTGAACAAAGACTGGAAGGAAAGAGGAAAAATGAAAAACTGTTGATACATTAGGGTGGTGTCCATATAGATGAAATGTAGATATCTTTAATTGCTATCATTTTGTGCAGTAATGAAAAATGTTAGATAGTCTTCTAATTTTATGTGCTTATGAATTATGTGCAATATTGCATTAATTGGGAATTTAACTCCTTGATATGAAGAATGTTTTTTTCCTAATGGAGAGCTATTGTTTCAAAACTATTTATTGAGTAGAACATTCTTTCCCAACTGATTTGAAATGCCACCTTTATTACATAATTTCCATACATCTGTTTCTGGACTCTGTAACTAGTGGTCTCTCTGTGTGCCACCATTGCACTGTTTAAATTTCCATGGTTTCATTGTATGTTTTGAGAGGTAAGTTCTGATCTCCAGGCTCCCCCTACCCCCTCCCCCAGCTCAAACATCATGCTTTCTTAAAACATTTGTTTCAAGTCTTTTATATTTATTTTTCCAGATGAACTTTAGAATAAGCTTGTTGAGTTTCATTTGAAAAATTCACTTTGGGTTTTGATTAGAGCACATTAAATTTATAGATAAATTTGGGGAGATAATTTTGCCTCTTATTGTTTCCAGAAGTTTCAGTGTAATAGCTGAGTGTTTTATATTTGGGATACAGTGAATTGACAGAGAGGTGATAACACATCTCTGTTATTTCTGGGCAGAAGCAGAGTGATTCTAGTATTGACGCCAACAAATTCACTTAGCAAAGTTTACAGTTTTCAATTGCTTAAAACAAAGCATGTGATTGAATCCAGATGGAGACATGATGGAGGCACACTGGAATTCTGTACACTCGAATTTATCTTTGCCAGTAATAAAATTAGTGGCCCTTTACGTAAAGTGGCATATTTTCAGTGGCCACAGTGATGAGAAAGACCCCAATCGTAGTGAAAAATTGTCACCTGTGGCTGATTATGTTGTACCTTGGTCCTCAGCACAATTTGAGAAGCGCATTCCTCCCGCTGAACTCCTTTGGAGTGATATTTAAACCTTTGAACTTTATCTAACTTTTCTGAATGAAAATGTTCTTTCATAGTCACATTTTTTAAAAATTTAAATTCTTTATTGTTGAAAAAGTATTACATATATCTCCTTTTTCCCTCATTGACCTCTCCCCAGCCACGCCCACCCCCCAGCACATGCCCTCATGGCCCTACTGTCTGTGTCCATTGGTTTTGCTTATATGCATGTGTACAAGTCCTTTGGTTGATCTCTTACCCCCACCCTCCCACCACTCCCTGCCTTCCCTCTGAGGTTTGGCAGTCTGTTTGATGCTTCTGTGTCTCTGGATCTATTTTTGTTCATTATATTCCACAAGTGAGTGAGGTCATGTGATATTTATCTTTCTCTGACTGGCTTATTTCGCTTAGCATAATGCCCTCCAGGTCCATCCATGCTGTTGCGAATGGTAAGAGTTCTTTCTTTTTTACAGCAGCGTAGTATTCCATTGTGTAGATGTATCCCAGTTTTTTAATCCACTCATCTGCTGATGGGCACTTAGGCTGTTTCCAAATATTAGCTATTGTAAATTGTGCTGCTATGAACATAGGGGTGCATATATCCTTTCTGATTGGTGTTTCTGGTTTCTTGGGATATATTCCTAGAAGTGGGATCACTGGGTCAAATGGGAGTCCCATTTTTAGTTTTTTGAGGAGACTCCATACTGTTTTTCACAGTGGCTGCACCACCAGCAGTGCACGAGGGTTCCTTTTCTCCGCATCCTCTCCAGCACTTGTCATTTGTTGATTTGTTGATGATAGCCATTCTGACAGGTATGAGATGGTACTGCATTGCTGGTTTGATTTGTATCTCTTGGATGATTAGTGACTTTGAGCATTTTTTCATATGTCTCTTGGCCTTCTGTATGTCCTTTTCGAAAAGTGTCTATTTAGTTCCTTTGCCCATTCTTTTGATTGGATTGTTTATCTTCCTTTTGTTAAGTTGTATGAATTCACATTTTCTTTCCTGTCTTCCTCTTTCTCTCTTGCCATCTCCATGCTCCCCTCCCTTCCCTTTCTTCTCTCTCATTGGGTCTCTCTCTGTTGGTTTTTTTTTTATCACACCCTTTTCTCCTTCTCTTGTAATTATACTGTGTCTTTCTGATCTCTTTATGATTAGCAAATCATAAACTCCTTTATGCTGAATATTATTCTTAATGCCAGGACTTCTGGACATCTCTCTTGAATGGACAGGTGTAGTTTCTGAGCTGACTGTTGTTTATCTTCTTTTATCAATGTAAAGCATGGTATGGTCTTGAACGGGAGGCATAACTGAATTGTAAAACTACTGTCTTGGATCACATTGAAAAGGGTTGTAGTTAAGCTCTTTCATAAGTTGCAGTTCTTGTTCACCCAATCAGATAAAATAGTAATATGATCATTGTTTTGAGTAGATATAGACTAGATATTCTGTGATCTGTGAAAAACTTTGATCTATTTACACAATATGTTTTCTATTAAAAAAAAATCAACAGGTTGGGCCAGATTCTGTCTGTGAGTAATTAACAGCCCCTTTAGCAACCAGGAGCATGACTAAAGCAAGCTGTTCTTCCTTTTTTAGGAAATGGAATTTCATCTAAGTTTCCTCTCTCAGTCATGTCAGACTGTTGTTATTGTTTTTCTTGCTTTTCAGAACCTCTTCCTGAACTTTTTTTGAAGCTATTGTATGGTAGATTTTTCTTGGCATGTTACTTTCTATTGATTATGTTTGTGTGCGTGTGTGCGAGCTCACACGCAGAGACAGGACCATTCAAAATTGGGAACCGGTGACTTGTTTTAGAACTTCACAATTTGTGTTTATACCAATTCAAAATTTAAGATAATGTTTCATGTGTGGCATGGATTTCAAACTACTAGAAAAACATAGCCTTTTTATTTTTAACATTTTAGAAGAGCTGACCATGTGGTTACTGGAAAGAGGAGCTCCAGTCTGATTTTGGTTTTGATACTGATCGGCCTGACTCCTGAGAGCCTAGGGAATAACATGCTAATATCCATCAAAGGCAAACAGCTGTGAAAGAGACTGCATAGCCTTTCTCTGTTCCCTTTCCTCGCATCCCAGGGTGAGGCGTGCTCGGAGGTGGGTTTGTTTTTGTTGGGCCAGCAAACAGAAGCCCAGATGCTCCACACTGGCCGAGCTCTGGAGGCCTCCAAAGAGGGCAACCCTTCCCACCTCCTGGTCTCCATTTCCCGGCCACTCCCACAGGCTGGGCGGAATGCACCCTCTCCCTGGAGGTCCCCTTTGTATTACCCATTTTATGTTTGAGGGGAGGGAGTGTCCGGAATCCTCCAAAGTCCCAAGATCAACTTGCAGGCTCCTCCATCGCTTGTGCTCTCTTGAAAGCACTGCTGATGTAGCCCCTCCTCACAGCCCCCCGCCCCCCCCCCATGGTCCTGTTGGAGAGCACCAGCCTGCTGTGCCCGCTCCCTCCTCACTCCTTCCTTCCTCAGAGTATGCCCTGGTGGCTCAGGGGGGCAGCACCTGTCCTTGGGACCAGGGCTCTGTTCCAAACAGAAGCTCTCAAGAGAAAGCATGAGGCTAGGCCAGATGAGAGAGAGGACTTGGAAATTCCTTAGAGAGGACAAAAAGCTACTGGAAAAGGCACATGAGTGTGGGAGCATGTGGCTCTCTTTATTTGGCAACGTGTGCGAAATATTTAAGGTTTTCACAAGAGACCCTGATGTATGTAGTCCAGGGTAAGGCCATAGCTAAAGATTAATCATTTTGAATCTTTATGCCAGGGTGGTATCTCAGGTAGAGGAAAAATGAATACAAGCAATGATGCTCATCAGGTAGGAATTCAAACAGAGTAAAAGACAAAGTACCACGTTTTCACATCCCCTAAGTGAAAAAGAAAAAAAAACCTTCACTACACTCTAAACTTCTTCAACTTTCAAAACAGAACAAACCAGCTCTGACACTCATATTTCAGTATATCAGCAAGCACCCAAACGTTGCTGTTGGAAAGACAGATTCGTACTATTTGAGCGCTCTCACGAGAAGTGAACATGACAAACCGCCCCGGGTGGACACGGGTGCTTTTTGTGTGGTTTCTGAGAGCCAGGATGAGGAAGTGTGATGATGCCCCACCTTGTTTGTTTTTCAGGGGCAGATGACGGTGTGTGCGAAGTTCGACAAAAATGTCTATCTTCCTAAAGATGCCGAGTTTTACTTTATTTATAACGGATCTCATCAGAGACACGTGGTGATTGCCGAGCGCACGGAGGACAACGTTCTCCAGTCCAGCATTCCAGGTGAGGTGTCTTCTTTACCGAGCATTCGGGAAATCTGTGAGCATCTTCCCACCGGGGACAGAGGCTGGGAAGAAAGCCAGGAAGAGAAAGTCAACGGTGCTTCCCAGGGATGAGTGGGTGAGAGTGCGTGAGTCTGTGGGTGAGAGGAGGAGGGCTCACGCCGGGTTAGCTCACGTCCCAGGTTCTTCCAGCTGTGTCTGCAGCTCCCTGAGCAGTCTAGCCTTCCATCAACTCTCAAGGCTGGGTGTGCTTTGGATGCAGTCCAGTGGAGGTGACACTGTGTCTCGGGATCACCTCCTGTAGTCCCAGGTCCCATTGCCAGGGATGGCTCAGGCAGACGGACATTGAATCTGTCTTCATTTTCCCTCCTCATTCCCTGTGGCTAGTCTGCCAGTCCAGGGTCTGCCTCCCCCTGCTTGCTCCGTTTGGTGGCTGGGGTTCCTCACCTGGCACCCTGTCCATCCAGACACTTCCTTGCTGGATCTCAGGCTCCAGAACTTTCTCTTCCCACCACCCAACGGGTCATATTCTAAAACCTGTAATTCTACCAGATTTCTTCTTCAATCACCATGGTGACAGATGACAAATTACTGTGTCGTGTTAATGTGTTATCATGAGCTAACAGCCCCTTTCAAATACAATTGTTTTGTGTTTTCACTGGGGTGTGGGTTGTACATTGGGATGTCAAGCTCTAGCCTAAAGGTGTAATTGGACATTGCCTGAAGGAAGGGAGGGTTTTGTTGTTTCTGTTTGTCGATTGGTAAGTTTTATTTAACTGTGGGTCTTGGAGTTACTCTTAAATCGTATCATATAGGGAACTGTGAAACATCAAATTTTCTTATAGGTAAGATTAGCCTCATTTTAGAGAAAAAAATGTTTCTAAATCCTTCTGCAGTATGTCTATTACTTGCCAAAAGAAGGTAGACAGTAAACATGTGAATGCAGGCGTAGTAAGAACTGTAGAGATGTACAAAGACCTTTCAGCTACCTGGGCTTGAATCCATCTGTTGTTCTGTGGCCACTTTTAAGTACTTCTCTCTCTGGTTCAACAACTCCCATCTTTACAATAAAAACAAAAAGTCAAACCTCATTAATGATAGTCACTCTGACTGCGCGTCTCTCTTGCCTTTGTCCTTTTGCTTTGTCTTTCTTGCCTTGAGCTTCCCCCTCTTTTCTTGGTTTACTTTTGAATGAAGACTTTTATAGAGAAAGAATAAAAATAACTGAAGTGCCACTTCTAATCTCAACACTTTTGTTTTGTCTTTTCCTTTACTTGCATTTAAGGGCGAACCTCCTTCCCACTCTTTGTGTGTTAAAGAAAATCCTTTTTATTATATTGTGGCCTGCTTAGAAGCGAGGGTTTTTACCTTCATTAGGTGACAGTGCCTGTTTCTGAACCTTACATTTCCCTGGTTACAGCTTTACCAGGGTAACCGTTCAGAAGTATGTAGGACAGATTTCTGTGTGACATATTGGGCATGTGTGGGCTGCATTCTGTGCTGGCACATTAGACCATTTAAAAAAAGTCAATGTGAAAATGGCAGAAGTTCTTGCTTACTAACCTGGGACGCCCTTGTTCCTTGAGGCCTGGGCGCATTGCATTTGGGGAAAGGTTTTGGAGAGTAAGGCAGAGCAGGAATGACTTGCGTTCATTAGCCTTATGCTTGGGGACCAATGGTGACTGAATGCTCACCTCTGTCCAGCTATGATTACCATAATTACAGAGATTTGATGGTACTAATTCCTGGAAATTCTGCCAAATTTAGCATAAAAACAGAAGTTCACCAACCTTGGCAAGATGAAAGAAGAGATGTGTAAGGAGGAGGAACAGACAGCAGGATTAGGTGACCACCCACAACAGGAGTGTTAAGAACACCCGCAAGACAGAGAGGCCATTGTCAGAAGTGGGGGTAGGGGCACTGAAAAATATATATAAATGTTTCTCTTGAGTCGTCATCACCCACTCCGACTCATATTCAGTGGAGCTCTGTGGAATGAGGGTGAACTTGGGTCACCATGTTGTGCTATTTCATAAAACTGTCATCTAAATAAGTACATAAAAATGTGTGACTCAGTAGGAAAAACAGGAGAGCAGAAAAGGGCAGAGACCTTTAAGATGACAAACCTTGAATTCAGAGGGTGGGGTAGATAGAAAAGGCGAAGGTAGGGCCAAGTAACAGTGTCTGGTAATCTTCAGAGAATAGATACTGAAATGCTCAGAGTTCATAAAGGTTGGCTTTAAATCAGGCATCCCTGGAAGAAGATGGAGTTGGCTTTAATTTGGTCCCACAGGCTCAGCGACATTTAAAGATAACTGGCTGCATTTCCTTTCTGCCTTGGTCTCCTGGAGCATGTAGTCTGTGTAGGCAGCGCGGTGAGGCAGGTGACAGCATCTTGCATAGACTCCGGGTGAACTGTTCACTGTCTTGTCGTCCAGGCCACGGGCTTCAGGAGACGGTGACGGTGTCTGTGTGCCTCTGCTCAGAAGGTTACTCCCCGGTGACCATGGGTGCCGGATCTGTGACCTACGTGGACAACATGGCCTGCAGGCTGGCCCGTCTGCTGGTCACCCAGGCCGATCGCCTCACTGCCAGTAGCCATCAGACCTTGCTGACCCCGTTTGCCCTGACGGTGGGAGCGCTGCCTGCTTTGGACGAGGAACTCGTGCAGGCGCTGACCCATCTGGAGTTGCCTCTTGGGTGGACTGTCTTGGGACATTCTTCACTTAAAGGTGAGTCTTCACCAGAAAATGTGCATGTCTCCTCTCTGTGTCAAGTTCAGAATATGTCTTATAATTTATTGTCTGTTTTCCTGCATGGGTTTTCCTCCCCACTTGTGACCCAAGCCTCGATCTGATGTGGCTGGTTTTCCTGAGGTCCTGAGCCACTCATCTCTGGGCTGGTTGATGCTACTCTGTTCCAGGAGGTGGAGAGTTTTGCCTCAGGAGGAAAGGGCTCTTCTTTGTGGAAGGCTTGTGAATCAGCTGCTCTGGGTTGTGGCTCCCCTTCCCTCAGCACGTTTGCTGGGAGAAGGGGATATTACTGCCTGTGTCCAAGTAGGTGGAGTCATAGGCAATGAAGAGCATGCAGCCAACTCTGTGGGACATTTAGGCGAAATGTGGCCATGAAGGAAATGTAACCATTGTGTTGACATCTTTAAAAATGTCAGTGTCACTGCAAGCATTCATACTGTATTTGTACTAACTTCTGGAGTTACCTCTGGATGCCTCCTGTTTACGAAAAGACTGAATAGACTGTAAATACCAACCATTTGGAATGTGTGTGAACAGAGATGATGTTGTATATAAGCCCATACTAGGCATGAGGCTAAATTGTTCAATAGATGCTTCTTATGTGATACAAGTGACATATTTTTGTTGGAACTACAGAGATGTTGCTCTGTATTTTTTTGAACATGACATACACTATTGCTGCTTTTCTGTATTCTTCTCATGACTTTAGTTTTGTAGTTGGATAATGCGATTTTCAAGAGTTTCTGCTTCCTGATAAAATCTGGAAATGGATTGAAAATGGCAGACTGTTACAGGTTGTTTTAAATTTGATCATGAATAACATGAAATGCACTACTGTAGGTAAAGAGGTATGATTTTTATAAGCAGAATTATATGGCCATAGCTACAATCAAAGAGGATCTCTGTTTCTCTTTGTTAATCAGGGTTTTACTAAAACTCTCCTGGACACTTAAGAATGTTTCTTATTGCTGAAACCGGTTTGGCTCAGTGGATAGAGCGTCGGCCTGCGGACTGAAAGGTCCCAGGTTCGATTCTGGTCAAGGGCATGTACCTGGGTTGCGGGCACATCCCCAGTGGGAGATGTGCAGGAGGCAGCTGATCGATGTTTCTCTCTCATCGATGTTTCTAACTCTCTATCTCTCTCCCTTCCTCTCTGTAAAAAATCAATAAAATATATTTAAAAAAAAAAAGAATGTTTCTTATTTCTAAGACCTCAAATGAGAGAAGTCACAAGCCCAGTTCAGCGTTAAGCATGTCTGACTCCTGTGTGCTGCACTGTATGGTAGCTGATTGATAGGTGTGCAGGGGTGGGCTCCCTGAGGGAGTGGGTGGTGTCTGTTCTTATCGTTAACCCCAAGGACCTAGCAAACGGCTTGGAAGATAGCAGGTGCTCAAGAAGTATTTGTTGGATGAATGAAGGTTGTATCCTTAGACCTCCAAGGAATTGCACAACCTATATATCACTGTTTTAATTCTCCTATATACATATATAGGAGGGAAAAATGTTTTCTGGATAAGAAACTTTATTCATATTTATACATACATATGTATATTCATATATGAATCCATTATATATACAGGGTGTCCCAAAAATGTATACACACTTTGAATGAATATAAAGTCAGTGTTTATTAATATACAGTTCATTTTCAAAATTTAAAAGAATCTACAGAAATGAATAATGTCTTCAAATTGATGACTGATCTGGTCCAGGCACTGCTGATAAACGCAAAGCAGGGGAATCGCAAACATCAAGAATCATTCGTTCGGTATTTGTGTGCCCTCAATTTGTCCACTATTGCCAGTTTTGTGCTTTAAACTTTATCTTTCATGTATCCCCATAAAAAAAGTCTAGTGGCACTTTAGGATAAATTTTCTTTGTTCAAAACTTAGTCTGGCTTCACCCATTATTTCAAATCAGTTAAACCTGAAAAGGAGTGAAAATTAAGTGAGTTATCAGCT